GCTGGGATTACAGGCTTGAGCCACCGCGCCTGGCCTTTTTTTTTTTTTTTTTTTTTTTTGAGATGGTTTCACTCTTATTGCCCAGGCTAGAGTACAATGGCACAACTTGGCTCACCACGACCTCTGCCTCCCAGGTTCAAGCGAATTCTCCTGTCTCAGCCTACCGAGTAGCTGGGATTACAGGCATGTGCCACCACACCTGGCTAATTTTTTTGTATTTTTAGTAGAGATGGGGTTTCTCCATGTTGGTCAGGCTGGTCTTGAACTCCTGACCTCAGGTGATCCACCCACCTCGGCCTCCCAAAATGCTGGGATTACAGGCATGAGCCACTGCACCTGGCCAACCCCACCACCTTCCTGACAGGAAATCCAAATGCCGGAGACCCTGAGCACAAAAGCTTAGACTTCATCAATCATCAGACTAAAGTAAGGCCTGATCTAAGTGAGACCCCTTTAAAAACAGGGCACCATTTCTCTGTAGACGGCTCCTCCTGGGTAACTGAAGAGAAAAAACATAATGGCTACTCAGTGGTTGATGGAGAAACTCTCACCGAAGTTGAATCAGGGAGACTGCCCAGTAACTGGTCTAACTAAACATGTGAGTTGTTCGCACTAAATCAAGCCTTAAAATGTCTGCAGAATCGAGAAGGGATATTTACATCAATTCCAAATATGCTTTTGGAGTGGCCCATACCTTTGGGAAGATTTGGACTGAACGAGGTCTTATTACTAGCAAGGGCCAAAACCTTGTCCACAAAGAGTTAATCATGCAAGTATTAGAAAACCTTCAGCTACCAGAGGATACAGTCATTGTTTATGTCCCAGGACACCAAAAAGGTCCCTCTTTCGAGAGTCGCTTCCCAAGAAGCACCCATTCTCCATTTAACCCCTTGTCTCCCTTCCCCATCCGCAACCCCCATCTTCTCCCAACCACATAAAGAAAAATTAAAGAAAATAGGGGCTAATGAAAACTCAGAAGTGAAATGGATACTGCCAGGTAACAAAGAAATGTTGTCTAAGCCCCTAATGAGAGAAATCTTAGCACAACTTCACCAAGGAATTCATTGGGGTCCCCAAGCCATGTGTGACGCAGTCCTTAGAAAGTACAGGTGTATAGGGATTTATACCCTTACCAGGCAAGTCACAGACAGTTGTATGGCATGCAGAAAAACCAATAAACAAACTTTAAAAAAACCACCCTTTGGGGGAAGAAATCCTGGGCTAAGGCCATTCCAAAGTGTCCAAAGAGACTATACTGAAATGCCCCAAATAGGCTGCCTCAAATATTTGTTAGTTATAATGGACCATCTCACTCACTGGGTGGAAGCCATTCACCTGCCAAGTGCAACTGACAATAATGTAGTTAAAGTACCAATAGTGTTGTAACTGAGCGAGTTATAGAGAAACGCCACACTTCAACATGAATTCAGGAGTCCTTTATTAGCTGGTGACCGAGAGACGGATAGTGCTCAAAATTCTCTCGGCCCTGAAAAAGGGGCTAGATTTTTTTTTATACTTTGGTTTAGAAAGGGGAGCGGGAATCAAGCTGAAGCAATCTCACAGAAGTAAAACAAGCAAAAAGACAAATGGTTACAGGAAAACAAACAGTTCCAGGTGCAGGGGCTTTAAATCCATCACAAGGTGATAGGTGCGAGGGCCTTGGATGCCATCTATCGGACACAAACGCGGGGGCTATAGGTACTATCAACTGGGCGAATTCCTGGGAACTGCGGATATAGTTTGCCACAATACCTTATCAGTTAATTGCACTCTTTGATGTGCTGGGAGTTACCTTGCACAAGTTAAATCCTTGAGGAAGCAGGTGGGTAAGGAGCCCTTGATGTCTTGCAAATGAAGGAGCCAAACGGAGTCTGGAGTCTGTCCGGCTTTCTCAGCTAAGGGACAGTCAATTCATATTAAAACAGGGTAAGGTATCACAAGAGACGACATCATACCGAGATTCAGATTAATAGAGAACATTGACTGAGACAATGGAACCCATTTTACTGCACAGGTCATTAAAGGATTAACCCAGACACTAGAAAAAAAAATGGGAATACCATACTCCCTGGCACCCACCCTCATTATGAAAAGTAGAAAGAATGAAACAAACTCTAAAAAAATCACCTAACTAAACTAATCTTCAAAACCCGACTGCCATGGACGAACTGCCTCCCTATCGCCGTACTAAGAATTCATACCACCCCTTGAAAAGATATCAGCCTGTCCCCTTATGAAATGCTCTACAGATTGCCATACTTAAATTTCACCACTGACATCCCCACATTGGAAACAAAAGATCAATTTCTTAAAAACTATATATGTTGTCTGTCTTCCACCCTGTCTTCCCTCAGGATCCAAGGCCTCTTAGCACAAACGCCACCTCTAGAGTTTCCAGTACACCCACATCAGCCTGGGGATTATGTGCTCATCAAAAGCTGGAGAAAGAAAAACTGGAACCATCATGGGAGGGACGCTATCTAATACTCCTAACACCTGAAACAGCAGTCCCAACAGCTGAACAGGGGTGGACTCATCACACTCGGGTAAAAAGGACCCCACCCCTTATGGAATCATGGACCACCACTCCAGGACCAACTCCCTCAAAATTAACATTCAAAAGGTCTAATTGTCTCTTCTTCCTCCTAATTGCCCAGGGGCATTTCATTATTAATGTAACCAAATCAGCCTCCCCTCAAGCTGTTGAGTTTGATGCTTGCCTAGCCATACCTTGCGGAGACCTGCCAAGTTAAAGGCAACTAGCCTCTTCGGAAAAGTATCTTTGCCTTTGGTACTCACCCCACCCTCAATCTGATCCTTGTAAGATTCCCTATAATTGGCTACCCTACCATTCCTGGTACGATATTCCCTAGACCACTCAGTCCCAAGGCTGGACTTCCCCAGCAGGCTGTACCTCCCTAAAACCTTATATCCATTTTACTAAACGAAATAACTCCTTTAACTGCCAACACCTGACGTAACCCGGTGCATATTTCTATTACTACTTCAATCTCCGCTAACCCTATTCCCACCCTAAGTCGCTTTTATGGTACAGGGGCAGATGTTACTGGGAAAGACCCCATAGGGTCCTTGGAGATTGGTTTTGTCACCCCTCCAGCACCCCTTCCTTCCCCAAGATCTCTTCCAAATCAAACAACTATCTTGCCATTACCTAATGACAAAACTAAAGTGGCCATAGTGGAAGTCAAAGACCTAAAACACACCCTGGTTATTGAGACCAGATACCAAGAAACAAATGCCTGGCTGAAATCGATCAAATACTCAGTGTGCACTTTAAATAAAAGTGACTATTACACCTGTGCAACAGGCAGGCCAGAAATCCAAATAGTTCTTTTCCTGTTTGGATGGTCTAACCAACCAGGCATGGACTGTATGGTAGCTCTCTTCCAGCATCCCCCAGCCTGGGGTAGTAAGTCATGCACCACTCTCTCACTGCTTTTCCTGAAACTCAAAGACTGCTCTGTGGGTCAGCCCCCAAGGGCCATCCGGTACCTGGCCTCTCATGCCAATTTTACCTCATGTTTCTCGCAACAGGGGGAAAACTTGGCATTTTTCGGGAATCTAACAGGATGCAGCGAATCCAAGCCTTTTCGATAGCTCACCAATCAGACTGCCCTCATCTATCCACGAGCAGATGTTCGGTGGTATTATGGAGGACCTCTACTGGGTATGCTGCCAAATAATTGGAGTGTCACTTGTGCTCTAATCCAATTGGCCATCTCTATCACCCTGGCATTTCATCAGTCTGGCAAAAAGTCACCCTCTTGGGAAAAAAGAGAAGCTCAAGGGTCTTTCGACCCCCACGTCTATATAGAGGCAATTGGAGTACCACAAGGAGTAGCCAATGAATTTAAAGCTTGAAATCAAATAGCTGCTGGGTTTTAGTCAGTCTTACTTTGGTGGTCTACTATAAACAAAAACGTAGATTGGATAAATTATACATGTGACAATCAACAACGATTTGTTATTTATACCAGAGATGCCATTAACGGGATAGCGGAGCAATTTGGTCCCACCAGCCAAATGGCCTGGGAAAACAGGATAGCTCTTGACATGATATTAGCAGAAAAAGGCAGAGTTTGTGTCATCATCAGACCCCAATATTGCACTTTGATCCCAAATAACACAGTTCCCAATGGAACCATTACCAAGGCTCTACAAGGCCTCAACACCCTAGCAAATGAGCTGGCTGAAAATTCTGGAACAGATGACCCCTTCACAGGTTTACCGGAAAGATGGTTTGGTAAATGGAAAGGACTTATGGCCTCTATCCTCACTTCCCTTGCAATTGTTACAAGTGCACTCATCCTTGTAGGCTGTTGCATCACACACTGTGTTCGTGGGTTAGTTCAAAGACTCGTAGAAACGGCTCTCACTAAAACCTCCTCTGTCTCTCCCCCTCCATATTCAGATAAACTTTTACCTAGACAATCAAGAAGAGCAACAAAGCTAAATCTTACTAAAATAATTCGAAGAAGAAGAATTATAAAAACAAAAAGGGGGAAATTGTCAGAATAAAAGAAAGGTTCCTCTTCAAAGATCCAACTTTCTTGTCATAGGCTGTAAACTGCCTTGCTCCAAATCTTAACCTGTAACCTTTACCCTGTGCCTTTTGAGAAAGATTCAAGCACATAGCCAATTGGGGTCAGCCTAGACTGTGCGGTCCAACCCCAGCCAATGGGGGAAAGACAAAGAACCAGGAACTGCGTTAGGGTTAAACACCTCTGTTCTCCTTTGTTAGGTGTGCTCTTGTGACTGCTATAGGCGCAGGCAGCACCCTTCTGCAAAGTAAACTTGGAGAAACTTTTCTTCTGAGTGCTGCTCTTCCTCTGCGGCACCGAGAACTTATTTCTAACAGGAGGAAGAAGACACGAGAATTTTGCGCATGCAGGTTCTGAGTTTTGGCTGGTGGGCTGAGTGCTCACCATACCTCAAATACTGTGTGAACTGGGCTGAAGAATAGAAAACCCGACTAACAGTGACTTAGGCAAAAAGAAATTTTATTCTTTCACAGAAATCTGAGGGAGGCAGGCTGAGTTCACACAGGAGTTCAATAACATCAGGGATCGGATTCTTTTTGTTCTTCTTAGCATGTCGATGTTTTACCTCATGGGCCTAAGATGGCTGTTGTGCATCATGCATCATGCATCATGCTTAAACCAGAGGCAGGAAGTGTACGATGGAAGAGGACAGAGGTGACGGCCTCCTCCTCTCGTTTTGTCTTATTCCTGGAGTGACTCCCTCCTTTTATCAGCAGGAACACAAGCAGTGCCCAGCAGCCTTCCCTCTGTCCTGTATAAGCCAGAAGCAAGCCTCAGGGCACCTCTCCCTGCAGAAAAGGGGTGGAATGGAACCCCTGGCAAAGGGGGATGGACTTGCAGTGACAGTGCTGCTCTGAACAGGACTGGGCTTCTGCTGGTGAGGAGGTCAGCGGCTGCTAGGCAGATCACAAGCTGCCTCGACCATGGTTCTCCAGCTCTGCGCCTGCCCTCTCCTTCTAATAAATGTTTCAATAACCATAAAGAGGGACAGTAATTTGCCCACGGTTGCACCAGGCGCCCCGGAAGAGTAAGAATTCCTCACAAAGTTATTAAAACAGGCAAATCCCATAAGCGTGACATTTCTTTCTAACAATGCTGACATCTCTTTAGTTTTGAGCTTTAGTAATACAATTTTCTGCCTCAGGAAGAGGCAGCAGCTTCTGGGAAAAACCTGCTCCTGCTAAGGGTGGCTCATGCATTGTTTTACCTGAATAGAGTGGTGGAGAGTGAAGGTTCAAATTCTCACTTTTCATATTCAATTTTATAATATAAAAAATAATTAAATGGGCCAGGCACAGTGGCTCACGCCTGTAATCCCAGCACTTGGGAGGCTAACGCGGGCAGATCACGAGGTCAGGAGATCATGACTATCCTGGCTAACACAGTGAAACCCCATTTCTACTAAATATACAAAAAATTAGCCAGGCGCGGTGGTAGGTGCCTGTATTCCCAGCTACTCGGGAGGCTGAGGCAGGAGAATGGTGTGAACCCAGGAGGCAGAGCTTGCAGTGAGCCAAGATCGCACCACTGCACTCCAGCCTGGGCAACTGCATCTCAAAAAAAAAAAAAGAGCCAACCAGGACAATGTTTAAAAGTCAGACCCAAAAGGCTCCAAAATAAAACTTGTCTGCTCAATTATTTATTTGAAGAGAAACTACAGTAATACAGACTGGAGATGGGAAAGCATGAGGGATGTATGAGTGGAGAAATGGGCAAAGGGGTGTGTGTGTGTGAGAGTGTGAGAGTGTGTGCATGTGTGTGTGCAGGCATGCAGCCAGCTAGGGTAGAAAATAAGTACTTTTGCTTCTATGGGAAGTGACTTTCCAGTTCACTTGTGTATCAAATGAACATGATTAAACCAAATTGTACTAGCCAATGTTTTGGAGGACTCTGTATTAAAGGAATAAAGAAAAACATTAGAAAGAGAAGTTACACAAATCACCGTGGGGAAAATGAACACCAATGACTTGGCTGCTCCAGGCTTGCAGGGAGTAGACAGGCATCCCAGGTCATCAGAGAACCAGCGGGGTCTTCTCCTCAGGGGCCAGGTTTTCTACATGCAAGTATAACCTCTTCTCGTCTGGGACACGTTTCCAAAGGACTTCAGAAACAGCACAGCTGGATTCAGGTACTTGTCAAGATGTGCCTTTTTCTTCATCTTTGACATCAGTTAATGTACTAAATGTCTTGATAGAGAAGGTCATATTTGGGAATATTCTTGGGATCAATAGGACTTTGGACAATAAGCTTCCCCCTCATTGCTCCTCGATAGATTACTTCAATCAAATCTATGAAGTCTTGTTTGGTTTTGAAGCTTCCCACAAACTTAGTGTGATCTGGAGATCTAGACACCATAGAAGAGAAACAACTGCTCTAAGAACTTTGAATAATCACTTGTGGAAGACTTTCAGGATAAACAAAATGAACAACAGCTTTGTTATTTTCTTCTTGTCAATGAGACTTCAGACATAAAGCCCAACATTTTTTTCAATCATTTTTTTCCATTTAGTAAATGACTAAACCCAGTGCTGTGGGCCACTAGCATGAAAGCTGTCACGTGAAAAGCTTTAGCTTCAAATCTATCGTAATCACAAAATCTATTTTTATCACTTCTCATATCACCAAGTGTTGGAATGTACAGTGTTTCTGTGTTTGCTGTTGTTTTTGCCTGGGCACCGTGCAAAGCCCATTCAATACTCACGGCCTTTAAGTTCTAGTCGCTTATACTTTTGAGTAGTAGGTATTAAAAAATTATTTTTTTAAGAAAAGTATCTCAAACATCAGGTACGTTACTATAAAAATTTTAAAGAAAGAAACAAAATCACCGATGAGGCCAGAGGTCACTTTTCAGTGTATATCCTTCCAATTGTGTGTGTGTGTGTGTGTGTGTGTGTGTGTGCATATGCAGATACATACTTCTTTTTTCCCAACACTGGAAATTATGTCATACAAATTATTCAGTAATATGCTTTTTTCTAGCTAACATGTATTTCTTTCAGTTGTTAAATCTGCATCTACAACATCATATTAAAGTCCTGGAAGTGTAATTACTGGGTTAAAAAGTGTAAACACTTTAAAGTATTTGATACATAATGTTGAACTGGCCCCCTTAAAACGTTGTCCCAAGTTAATACTTACATCAACTGTGTTCCAGTAGAATAAACAGCTTTAAAATATTTTGTGTTTTTTGTTGTTGTTATTGTTGTTGTTTTGAGATGGAGTCTTGCGGTCACCAGGCTGGAGTGTAGTGGTGTGATCTCTGCTCACTGCAATTTCCACCTCCCAGGCTCAAGAGAATCTCCTGCCTCAGCCTCCTGAGTAGGTGGGATTACAGGCGCCCACTATCATGCCCAGCTAACTTTTTTCTTCTTTTGAGACGGAGTCTCAGTCTGTTGCCCAGGCTGCAGTGCAGTGGTGCGATCTTGGCTCACTGTAAGCTCCACCTCCTGGGTTCACGCCATTCTCCTGCCTCAATCTCCAGAGTAGCTGGAACTACAGGCACCTGCCACCACGCCCAGCTAATTTTTTGTATATTTAGTAGAGAGAGGGTTTCAGTGTGTTAGCCAGGATGGTCTCGATCTCCTGACCTCGTGATCCGCCTGCCTCGGCCTCCCAAAGTACTGGGATTACACGTGTAAGCCACCGCGCCCAATCACGCTTGGCAACACCCGGCTAATTTTTGTATTTTTAGTAGAGATGGGGTTTCACCATGTTGGCCAGGTTGGTTTTGAACTCCTGACCTCAAATGATCCGCCTGCCTCAGCCTCCCGAAGTGCTGGGATTACAGGCGTGAGCCACTGTGCCCAGCCTAAAGCACTTTAAAACAGATATCCCACACACTTTCAAATAAAGACAAAAAGGGTACACAGATCTAGATAAGTGGACACCTCAACCACAGTAGAAATGGTCAGAATCATGGATGTATCCAATCATCAATATTAAGTATTGAGATGGTAACTGGATGGAGTGGAAGGCATTAAATAAGACTTCATGTTACTTATTCTTGACAGGCTTTGCTGAAGAATGACTTAAAATTCTCTGAATGGCGAAAAGCAGGAAACTTTGCAAGAGAGAAGCACATCTTAGTTTGCTGGAAGGAATGCTTCTTTTATAAATGCCACTCACCAGTCCAAAAGTGTTTTTTTTTTTTTTTTTTGAGACGGAGTCTCGCTCTGTCGCCCAGGCTGGAGTGCAGTGGCCGGATCTCAGCTCACTGCAAGCTCCGCCTCCCGGGTTCACACCATTCTCCTGCCTCAGCCTCCCGAGTAGCTGGGGCTACAGGCGCCCGCCACCTCACCCCGCTAGTTTTGTGTATTTTTTAGTAGAGACGGGGTTTCACCGTGTTAGCCAAGATGGTCTCGATCTCCTGACCTCGTGATCCACCCGTCTCGGCCTTCCAAAGTGCTGGGATTACAGGCTTGAGCCACCACGCCTGGCCAACCAGTCCAAAAGTTTAAGAACAACTACGTATTTTGTTTCAAATGAAATTTCTGGGAAAATTTTAAGAGCTCTTGATTTAGTTAACATAGCTATTTTACATTTTATAGACATGGATGGTAGTGCTTCGCAAACTGTACTATTTCTTCATACTTAAGTTGGAAATTAAAATTTGACAAACCATGTGTATGCACCATATTTTTAATTAAAAAAATAAATAAAATTTGACAATCATACCTGAAACACTGTCATTTTGTAGCAAGGCTTTGCACAAAAAATTAGAGAGTGCATCAATTGAGGAAACAGTGCTGATACAAGACTCACAGAGTCAACATCACATGCAAATAGGCAAGCCACTGAAACTGCTTACCAAAGGAAACTTACAAGGTTGCAATAACTTCAGATCAACAGCACTTACCCATAATCCACTTTCATATGCTGCCCATTGAAGAAAAAGACAGTAGACGGAATATAACTGATGTCAAAATACTGTGTATAAACTGGAGTTTGGTCTACATCTACCAGGTATATAGCAGCCATTTTACTTAAGTCAGAAGAGGTCTTAGAAAGCTGCAAATGAGAGAGACGAAAGTTACAATATGAGAGGCAGCTAATGTTTCTTCTGTGAAACTTGTTACTACAACAGAGTATTTTGTTTGAAAAAAACTCCTGGGCCAACAATGCAGCCCTTGTGGCTCCCACATTAGACACAAGGTAACCCCACCCTCCAGTCTCATTCCCTGCAGACGGGGTGAGGAAGGAACCTTGGGAAACTGCATGAGGTTAGGAGGGTGACAGCATGGGAGTATTCCTGTTTATTCATTGCAGAAAGAGACCTAACCCAGAACTAAGACCTCTTCTGGCCATTTCTACTGCTGCCATCCTGTGTAAGAGCTAAGCGTAGAAATCCTTGGGGAAAACTGTGAATCTATTTCTTCCTTTAATTTCCTTCTTTGAATGTTTTTATAAAAGTAACCCATGCTCATTTAAAACAACACAACTTAGAAATATGTAATATGGATACTGAAATTCCCTAATGTCTCCTTCCTCCCAATCCTCCCAGAAATGAAAATCACAATTATTAGTAACAGACACTTATATGACATTACTATGTGGTAACTGTCCTAAGTGCTTAACATTTGTTAACCCATTTAATCCTTACAACATTCTTAAAAGGTATATGCTACTAGAGTCCTCATTTTATAGATAGGGAAACTGAGGCACAGGGAGGTAATTTGCCCCAGGTCATATAGCTCCTAAGCAGTAGGGCGGGGATTTGAACTTTGGCAGTGTGGCTTCAGTGTCTACATTACCGACTTCTGTGGTATTTCCTCCTCCCTACGGCTGAGGGTAGAATCCTCTGGTCCTTTTTTCCCCAGGGCTAACACATCACACCCTCATTGTAACCACGGAAATGTGGATTTGTACGCTCAGCTCTTACACGGGATGGCAGCAGTAGAAATGGTGCTAAGAAGTCTTAGTTTTGGGTTAGGTCTCTCTGCATCAGGCACATACTGGAGGCAGCACACGAGACCAGATTATTTGCAGCTACAGAAAACTGAGTTCAAATCTCAGCTCTGCAATATAGTGGATCTGTGCCTGTGGGACGTTACTTGACCTCTCTGGCATTTTTTCTCCCACTGGCAAATGGGGCTACTATTATCTTACTATTGTAAGCACTGAAAAGATAGTGTTCACAGATGCTTGTTAATAGTTTTTTGCTCTTCCATTGCCTTGTTGGTGAAACAGCATTGACAGCTTCTAGTGGGTAAGGCCATCCAAGACAGATTCAGCACACACAGATTTGGCGGTTTGGCTCAGGGCAGGCACACAATCAGCTCTTAGTGAACTAAATGAGCAGCCATATACCCAGCCCTGACTACTCCCTCTCATGTACTATTCAGATGCTGAAGTAAGAATATAGATTATTAATAAAAACCACTTAGACAGTCACTTACAATATCATCCAGCTGCAGACAGACAGGATCTTCATCTCTTCCAAACCTGAGCACCAACACCTTCTCAGCAGTACTTTTTATCGCCTGGTCTACTTCCTTTTTGCTAGTCAGCTTGGGCAGCAGGAAGCTCATCCTGAGATAACCCAAATGTGAATCCTGTCACTCCTGAAATAAAGGTGCAAAGTTTAAAGATAGTTTAGATTCAGTGTGTGAGCCCTCATTAAAAAAAATCAATCCACAGAGTAGCTAATGCATTCACATGGTATAAAAGAAACATCATAGAAAGGTAATATCGTGGAGTTTCCCTCTCCTTGTCCCTGCTCCTTGTGCCCTGTTTTCATTGCTCCCTCCCCCGGGCCAGATAACTGCTTTCATTAGTTTCTCATGTATTTTTCAGAGTTTTGTTATGCATTCACAAAAAAATACAAATATGTGTTCCTACATTTTTTCTCTCCCTCTCTCTCCCCCCAAAAGATAGCCTATTCTATCACTGTTTCAGCAAGAAAGCGATGACACTCTCAACTTTGGTAATTTGAAAGCAGTTTAATTAAGGCAGTTGTAGAAAAACAACAGGGTAAAGTGTACTACTTTGGGGCTAGTAACACCGGGATGCTATACCCATCCTTAGGCCATGGGAGGAAGGAGCCATGGGAGGAAGCAGTTATAAGAATTGTGTGTCAAAAAGAGGTGAGTGGAGAGGACAGTGTATAGGAGGGTGGCCTGCTGTTAAGTGTTGCGGCCACTCTCCTCTCTCCCTCCGACCTCTGCTGGTGAAACCACTGGCTGACTTCAACTGGAACCAGAGGGCAGGGGCCTGTTGAGGCAGGCAAACCTCCCCATCCCAGAGCAGTCTAGAGGAGGATGAAGAATGGCTGTGGAGGGACCAATGGCAGATGTTCAGCGCACACACTTTATCTACTCTTCTGCACTTTTCATTATTTCAAACCTAACCTATGAAAATTGCCCCATACCTCTATATAGAAAACATCCATATTCTTTGTCATGGCAGCATATTATTTCTTGCATGTGTTGTTACACATTTTAAACAGTCGTTTATTGTGTACATTATATTATTACAAAACCTGGCTTAAAGATTCTAGGTGCACCTCATTACATGGCAAACATCAGTTAAGAGTGTGTGTGAAAACTACAATTCCATAAACAAATCATAAAATGCTGAGGTACAAGGGGCTTAATCCAACCCCGTCATTTTACAAACTAGCTTGCTTACAGTTGCACTTCCTGTTACAACGACAAGGACTAGAATACAGGCCACCAACTTTCTAGTCCAAAAGAAGAGGTACAAATGGACAGTAAATACATTTGAAAAGTTAAGCTTTACTAGTAAATTAAAAGATATGTTTACAAAGTCACTGAATTGGCGAAAATTAAACAAGACAGTGGCACACAATAATGGCAAGAGTATGAATGTAGGGGCAGACACAGGGAGTCCCTACAGGAATGCAGGCACAAAATCTTTCTGGAAAGAAAGGGAACATACTCTTTGACCAATAACTCCACTGCTTTCCTCTCTACCTCTCTTTTCCTGAGACGGGGTCTCGCTATGTTGCCCAGGTTGGTCTCAACTTCCCAGGCTCAAGCAATCCTCCCGCCTCAGCCTCCCGAGTAGCTGGAACCTGAGGCGCGCGCCACAACTGCAGAAACACCAAAAAAAGAAAAAAACTTTGAACTCACTTTTGTACAAAACCTTATAACAATGTATTCCACAAAAACAACTGGAAATAAATATCCCCAAACACCATCAGTGGTCACCTCTGCGTATGAAGGCACGGGTGATTTTTATTTACAGCGGGGCGCGCATCTCTATTTTCCAAAATATCCGATATATGTATTTAAAGTCACCTGTGTTACGCTGCTCCTGGCCCACACGCGCTAGGGATCGTAGCACTTACCTTACTCGTCCACGCCGCCTCCCTCCCTTCCACTTTGTGACTGTCGGCAACCCCTTCTCAGAAGAGCCCGGGCGCGGACGGCTCCTTTCATCAGCCCCAAGCCGGGCAGAACCCTAAGGCCAAGTCACCCAGGACCTGTTGCCTAGCAACCCTTGTGGCCCCGCTAACGGGAAGGAAGCCGAATAGAAAACGCACAAGCACAGAAAAGAAACTCCCGGTCGTCGGTCGGCCCCCACTCAACAGCCCAATAAACAGAAGAGCTTCTAGTCACCGCCCACCTTGCTCGGCTCTGACCGGAAGCTAGGCGTCACCTCCGCCAGTGTTAAAGATGGTCGACCTTTTTCCCCTCCTTTTCCTGCCCCCAGACTAGAGGCGGGATGTCGTCTTTTAGACTGTGATTGGTCACAAGGAGACTCGGAAGTGTCTCTGATCAGAGCCCCAGAGGAGGCCTTGAGAGCCTGTTGGCGTTCCGTTCCACACTTGGATCCAGGAATCGGCGTGTTCCAGACTGCTCTCTATGGTAGCTTTGGGCGGATAGAGGGGGCCGCGCAAGGTATTAAGGGACAATAATGGCCGCTTTCAAGGTGTGGATTTTGGCTCCTTGAGCCTGACTAAGCGAGGGGTGGCAGCGCGGGCGCCCCAGAATCCGGGACAGAAGGGTCCCAAGAGTCGCGCTTGGTGAGGTGAGAGTCCCTTCTTCCTTCCTGGCCTGCTCTTCTATAATCATGGCGGCTCCAGGCGGCGGATATTGGTTCCCTGCCTAGGTCCGGGCCCCAGTTTGGGGAGTTCCTCTGTCGTCCCTGTCACCCACCTTGCCTTACTCACCTCAGGGATGCTGCACCCGTCCTGCTCGCCTTGGCCTTCCTCCTTGCTCTGGTCAAATCCTGCTGCCTGGAGCGGCCTCGCCGAGATCCAGGAATGCTGCCTGGAGTGGCCTTGCTCCCTCTCCCAGGCCTCCGCTGTAACCCGCCCCAAACTGTCTCCGAGCCCGAGTAGGACTCCTTGTGTCTTCCTCTGCTCTCTCACAGTGTTGTTTATACCAGGCAATCTGGTGGGCGATCTCTTCTACTAGAATGTCAGCTTCAGGTGGGCGGGGATTTTTGTCTTGTTCTCTTCTCTGTTGCTGTCTCCGAGAACAGCAATTGGCTCAGGGACGCCCTCAGTGAATAATTGTTGAATGCGTGAATCTAGGTTCTTTCTTCCCTGGCTTTCTCGTACCCCTTGTAGTTTCTTTGCCATTAATTCTTCTCAAGAATCTTGCTCTTTAGCTCTTATTTGTTCTTCTCAGCAGCTAGTTAAGTCCTGTCTGGCTGCCTCCTTGTCCTGTGTTGCTGGAATCTTCCTTTGCTGTCTCCAGAAATGTTTGGGTTTCTGTTCTCCTTTAATAAGTTTAAATTAATTCATTTTTAAGTTTATCAAACGCTTATTTTGCTAGACATTGAGCTACAGCAGTCAACGACACATCCAGTGTTCTCTCACCTGTGTAGAATGGCAGTCCAGGGTACATTTCCTAGTTTAGACAACTATTGAGCAGAGCCTGTATATCTTTATTTTCTTGTGTGGATTTCCTCGCATACGTACAGATGTCACCAATATGCAGCTTTCTTTTTTCTGTTCTGCCTGATGGCATTTTCAAAATATAACTCTTGTTTCTGCATTAATATTATGTGTCCAGTCTGTTTGGCAGTACTCTATAGAGCTGTGCATTTAATTAGAGTTTGGTAAAAAATTCTGGATTCTGGTGGCACCTCCTTTGCTATGCTAACTTGTTGGAATGAGAAGAATTATCCAAGCACCCAGAACTGGTATATGTTCATGAGTGGCAGATGTGTAGTGAGAGGTAAAGAGAAGCTTGTTCCAACTTGAGTGCCAGAAGTCTTGTAGCCACTTAAATACTTCTCAGTAACACCTTTTCCTAACCTAGTATTTCTCATAAATATTTTTGGTAAACCTGGATTGTTATTAAACTGATTTTGGCTGCTGTGAGTAAATTGTTTTCTGTAAAACGCAGCTAGGCTAAGAAAAGCCACTAAAGTATGGAGAACATGGATGGTAGCCTTCTGCCCCATCTCCGTGCTGCTGTACCTGTTGTTTAAAGAGAGGAGGAGGTAGAACTCATGTAAAGAATGGGTGAGGGACCAACAGTATATAGGAGGATAGCAAATAATATAATGTAGCAGTTACATTTATGTTAACTCTTATGGTTACATAAAGAGCTACTCTTTATGGTTTCACATACACTTTTTGTTTGATTCTCACAATAGCTTCATGGATTAGATAAAGTGAAAATTATTTCCATTTAATAGATATGAAATTATGGTTAAACAAAGATTAAGTTATTTACTTACCATCATACAGGTAGAAAGTATCAAGAGCCTGGTTTCTAATTGAGGTTTCTGACTCAAATTTAGTGGTGTTTTCCCTATACCCCTGTTACAGATGACATCAGGCTCTAGAAAGTATCCCTTAGTGAGGCCTTTTATTGCCTCGTGGATCCTTGTGGGGGGTGGGGAGGAATATATGGGGTGTGTGTGTACTGATTTTGGTGTTTGTTGGGGGTTAGAATAGGAGGATCTTTGGAGATTGTCAGTGACTTGATGGAAAGGTCTTGGAGAGAGGCAGCAAAAGTAGTCCTGGTCTTAGGGGGAGATGGGAAAGGTTAATCACCTAAATATAACCATAACTGCATTTATTCTGGGATATGGTAGAGCTGAGCCTTTTCCAGTACCAAATGGTTTGCCTTCCTTCCAGAGAAATTCCAGATCCTGGGATGGGGGACACCAGTGAGGATGCCTCCATCCATCGATTGGAAGGCACTGATCTGGACTCTCAGGTTGGCGGTCTTATTTGCAAGACCAAAAGTGCGGCCAGCGAGCAGCATGTCTTCAAGGCCCCTGCTCCCCGCCCTTCATTACTGGGACTGGACTTGCTGGCTTCCCTGAAACGGAGGGAGCGAGAGGAGAAGGACGATGGGGAGGACAAGAAGAAGTCCAAAATCTCTTCCTACAAGGACTGGGAAGAGAGCAAGGATGACCAGAAGGATGCCGAGGAAGAGGGCGGTGACCAGGCTGGCCGAAATATCCGGAAAGACAGGTAAAGGCCTTAGGAGGGGTTAGCCCATAGGGAAGCAAATGGAGGCTGGAAAATAACATCGCATGTTTATCTCTCAGTTTTCCTGTTGGAGATTTAGAGCTTTATGATTTTATTTTGATTCTGTAATATTGAAGGTAGGTAGGAGTTTGTGGGGAAAAACAAAGGTGACTAAAGACTAGATGGTAGAGGTTAGAAATGCCTTGGGTTGTTGCCATATGTGAGCCTGCTGTCCCAGGGAGAGAAAGTGGAAAAGGAGAGATCACTTGTTTGGACAGCCAAAGGTTTTAGGGCAGAGTTTTTCTCCTATAGACGGGCCCTTACCAGTTGCTCTCCCTGTTTCAGACATTATCGATCTGCCCGGGTAGAAACTCCATCCCATCCAGGTGGTGTGAGCGAAGAGTTTTGGGAACGCAGTCGGCAGAGAGAGCGGGAGCGGCGCGAACATGGTGTCTATGCCTCATCCAAAGAAGAAAAGGATTGGAAGAAGGAGAAATCGCGGGATCGAGACTATGACCGCAAGAGGGACAGAGGTAAACTGTCCAGCACATTTCCTGTTGTCCATTAGCATCTGAATAAATGTGTCAGCCTTTTTCTTGTTGCAGGGGTCTTTGCAACACCCATTAGTTAGGGAGTCCTGTTTGCATGATGTCCGCCTGAGTGGTTTTGACCCTGTTGGGATTGGGAATAGTAGTTTAAGAACTGTTGCCTGTAACATAGGTGGTCTCCTTGAGTGTGTGGTCTTTGTTTTATTATGATAAAGGAGATAATGGGTAAATATGTACAAGAGACCAGCGTTTCTAATAGTATTGGTGATAGAGAAAGGACAGTGCTATGGAACAAAGCTAGACAAAAAAAATCCAATGCTGTGTTAGCTCAGTATTAAGTTTTATAGCTGATAGAATTATAACTATTAAAAAAAAGATTTACTGTAAACTTGTACTATTATTTTTTGAATTTTTGCTAGAAAATAACTGTTACTGTGGGTTTGAAACTTTCTAGGCAGTAACTATTTTTCCCCCTTGGGAGAATGGGCATAGGTGAGTTTCAGGAGTCTACGGATCACATTCGAGCAGTGCAGGTTGCACCTGTGAGTGAGTGGGCAGCCTATGTCCTTTCTCTAGGGTGAAGATGGGTGTACCTTAGGATGGGGTGCATGTTTTTAAGCTTTGTGTGACTCTTCATAGATGACCGGGATAGAAGTAGGCACAGCAGCAGATCGGAGCGAGATGGAGGGTCAGAGCGTAGCAGCAGAAGAAATGAGCCTGAGAGCCCACGACATCGACCTAAAGGTAGACTCACTGTTTTGGTGGTTTGTGAGGATTCCAGTGTATAAAAGGCAGAGTGAGTGACTCTTGTCTTCAGGGAGATTGCTGAGGCACTGAGTCAGAATTCCCGATTCCACCATGAACATCTTGGGATAGTTGGTTCTGAGTCAGGTGGGCACGGCTCTGCACTTGGGGTGGATATGGTTCCTGTAAGGTGAGAGGCTGGTTTGCTGAATGGCCAGTTTTCCAAATGGCAGGAAAGAATAGGGAGTTGGAGGTAGAAGGGTTTATTAAAAAGAACTATTTATATCCCAGAGGGGTGTGTTTGTAGAGATAAAGTAAATATCCCTTAAAATGTTGTCATAAACACAGAATGAAAACTGGACCATTGGCCAGGTGCAGTGGCTCATACCTGTAATCCCAGCACTTTGGGAGGCTGAGGCAGGCAGATCACTTGAGGTCAGGAGTTCGAGACCAGCCTGGCCAACATGGTGAAACTCCGTTCCTAGTAAAAGTACAAAAATTAGCCTGGGGTGGTGGCGGGCAGCTATAATCCCAGCTATTTGGGAGGCTCAGGCAGGAGAATCACTTGAACCGGGAGGCTGACGTTGCAGTGAACCAAGATCACACCACTGTACTCCAGCGTGGGTGACAGAGCGAGACTTCCTCTCAAAAAAAACCAAAAAAACCAAAAAAAACAAAAAGAAAAATATATCCTGGACCACTAAAAATTGAGATATCTTAAAAAACTGTCAAAACCGATCTTACCCATTATAGATACATGCAAGGTTTAGAAATAGTAAAAGAAGTAAATTTGGGGAATTTACTTTTGGCAACTGGTTCTAGAGCCATGTCGTGGTTAAGTGAGATGTTTCCTGTGGATGTGTCTTCTGTGGCCCCAGATGCAGCCACCCCTTCGAGGTCTACCTGGGAGGAAGAGGACAGTGGCTATGGCTCCTCAAGGCGCTCCCAGTGGGAATCGCCCTCCCCGACGCCTTCCTATCGGGATTCTGAGCGGAGCCATCGGCTGTCCACTCGAGATCGAGACAGGTGATGTTCCGGGCAGAGCAGCCCAGTTTCGCTGGGTGGCGGTAAGGAGCCTCGGCAGGGAGAGCAGATGGCGGCCAGTAGGACGTGGCTTACCTCAGTGACAGTTTTGTGATGCTGGTGCTGCTGTTCCCAGGTCTGTGAGGGGCAAGTACTCGGATGACACGCCTCTGCCAACGCCCTCCTACAAATACAATGAGTGGGCCGATGACAGAAGACACTTGGGGTCCACCCCACGTCTGTCCAGGGGTCGAGGTGAGGCCTGGGGGGCAGGAGGCAGAAGAGCAGGCTTGCTCGCCCTAGCGAGGACGAGCAGGGGCTGCCCTTCTGAAGCTGCGTGGCCCTGCAGATCTGTCCGGGGCCGCTGGGGATAGGCCAGGGCGTGGACTGACCTGCTCCCTGTGCTCCTCCAGGAAGACGCGAGGAAGGCGAAGAAGGAATTTCATTTGACACGGAGGAGGAGCGGCAGCAGTGGGAGGATGACCAGAGGGTAAAACTTTATATCTCTGAGGGGCTGATCAAGGCTGGTGGCTGTCTGTAAATGGGTGACCCTCTAGCAGGACTGGGCTTTGATAAGGGTGCACCTGAGCCCTGTTCAGCCCCGATGCCCTGGAGTCTCTTTGCAGAGGCATAGGCGGCAGGGTGAACCCTGTCACTCACTGCAGTAGGCTGACCTAACTTTTCTGTTATGTGTTGGTGCCACCATGTGGTAACTCTAAGAAGTGCTGTTGTGATGGACTGCCCTCCAGTCCTGTGTAGTCTCCCACTGTGGTTCTCCTCCAGACAGCACGTGGCTGCAGGGTGGCCCCTCCAGCACCCCTCACAAGGGTAACTGCACTGCAGTAGTGACTTCCTACCACACGTCCCCTCCTCTGTTGGCCATGTCTCGTGCCTAAACTTGATCTGTCCCTCACTCCCTTGCTTCACCTCCTGCCCTGCAGCAAGCCGATCGGGATTGGTACATGATGGACGAGGGCTATGATGAGTTCCACAACCCACTGGCCTACTCCTCTGAGGACTATGTGAGGAGGCGGGAGCAGCACCTGCATAAACAGAAGCAGAAGCGCATTTCAGCTCAGCGGAGACAGATCAATGAGGTGAGGCAGCCTGCAGAAGTTGGAGCAGATTCAGAGCTGGCGGTAGAGCACATGGGGAAGCAGCAGGTTATGCCCAAGTGAGGGCAGCACAGCTTGTGCCCTGATTGCCGAGAGGACCAGATCCTCTGGAGGTGGAAGAGGAGTGGGTGATGAGCCTTTTGGTAGCTTAAGGGAAGCCCTGGCTCATACTTCTCTCTTTTGCAGTACTTCCTTGAGGGAAGGTACTGTTGATGGGAGCAGGTGCATTGGGACCTGCCTCTGTGGTCTGTGTTCTTTGTGTCTCTGATGTGGGCTAGGGGTGCTTACCATTCATATGTCCATCTAGAGGTTCTGATTTAGATGAAAGGTGCTGCTTCTTAGAACAAAGTCCTGCAGGTGATTTGGGATCAGTTCCTCTTCTGTCTTAGGAGCTGTATGTAGAGGCCTGTGACATCTTTGCAGCCACCAGTGGCCTTCTGTCAGGACTTGATGTGTGGACACCTCGTAACCTTTCAGGACGACCTTTGGGGTGGAAATTTGAGTATGGCTCCCATTGTGTCCTCACAGGATAACGAGCGCTGGGAGACAAACCGCATGCTCACCAGTGGGGTGGTCCATCGGCTGGAGGTGGACGAGGATTTTGAAGAGGACAATGCAGCCAAGGTGCATCTGATGGTGCACAATCTGGTGCCTCCCTTTCTGGATGGGCGCATTGTCTTCACCAAGCAGGTGAGGCTCCTCTGTGGCCAGGGACAAGACAGCTCAGAGAGACCTGATGTGGGCCAGGTGCAGTGACTCATGCCTGTCATCCTCGCGCTTTGGGAGGCTGAGGTGGGTGGATCATTGGTGACCAGGAGTTCAAGACCAGCCTGGGCAATATAGTGAAACCCGTCTCAAAAGTACAAAAATTAGCTGGGCGTGGTGGCAGGCACCTGTAGTTTCAGCTACTTGGGAGGCTGAGGCCGGAGAATTGCTTGAACCTGGGAGGCAGAAACTGCAGTGAGCAGAGATCACACCACTGCACTCCAGCCTGGGTGACAGCGAGACTCTGTCTCAAAATAAAAAAAAAAAAAGGCCTGATGTGGAGACAGGAAAAAGAGAAGGGGAAAAATAGTCCTGTACCATGAGAGTATGGCAGTCCCTTTCACAGGCAGGACTCCTGCTGATTTTAATGGGCATTGCTCTTTCTACCCACCGCTGCAGCCGGAGCCGGTGATTCCAGTGAAGGACGCCACTTCTGACCTGGCCATCATTGCTCGGAAAGGCAGCCAAACAGTGCGGAAGCACAGGGAGCAGAAGGAGCGCAAGAAGGTTGGTTTCTTGTCACCGGGGCTGGGAAGTCTATGCGTATTTTTTTCTTTTTTCTTCTTTTCAAAAGTCTTATTAGGCCCACAGATAGAAGGTAGGAGTCCCCTCTATCAAGTCCTTAGTCATGACAGCTGCGGGGCCTGGTGTTGGGAGAGCTGGAGGCTTGAGGCTCGGAATGCGTGGTTAGTGCCACCAGCGCCCTGGAGGAGTTTACCACCTGCAGGGTGAAGCCTGCTGTCCCCTGGGATTGATTTTCCATTGCCCACAGTCATGTGGCAGGGTGGAACAGACTGACCTTTTTCCTTTTCAGGCTCAGCACAAACACTGGGAACTGGCTGGGACCAAACTGGGAGATATAATGGGTGTCAAGAAGGAGGAAGAACCAGATAAAGCTGTGACGGAGGACGGGAAGGTGGACTACAGGTGGGCAGCCTGTGCCAGCAGCGGAGCAGCCTTGTTCCAAAGATGGGGGTCCCGTGCAAGCAGTCGCGGCAGAACTCATTGACTTTGTGGCTCCTGAGTGGGAGACTCTTAGGATGCCTGTCTGCGTCTTCCACTCTCTCCGGTCCCTCCATCCTGGTCTCTTCACTGTCTTCCACTTTTCCTAGATGTGATTCCTGCTGCCCCACTGCTTCCTCTGGTACTGGTGTTGTGAGAGAAAGGAGGCCCAGGGAGGTTAAGTAACTTGTCTGAGGTTGCCCAGCTCATCAGTGAGGGAGTCATGATCAGACCCAGGCCGTCCCATATCAGAGCCACTCTGCTGAAATGCCTCCCAGGAGTTCATTGTGGGCCGCTGGGTTTTAGTCCCTTAGATTTCAGTTCACTATAAGAACTGCTTTTAAAAGAGGTTCCAAAATAGAAAGGGTTATCTTATTGGCCAGTGACTTCTCTGTTCATAGAGGCATCTAAGCAGATGCTGAGTTGGGATTCCTGCGTTGGGCAGGTAGGTGGCTGGACTCATCTGCCCCTCAAGATCCTCATCCTTCGAATGCCATCATGTTCTACTGAGCAGTCAGCTGAGTTAATAATTGTCTCTACTCCTGTGTGAAATATCCAGATGGGAAGTTGATACTATTGATCAGCTCTTATTCATCTCTAGTTAACTTAATTCCTTAGGTATTAGTTATTGGGTGACCAGGAGGGACTGGGTGAAATTAGAAATAGGAAGCTCAACAGAGCATGGGGCGGCAGATCAGACAGGAAGTCTCTGGGGAAGGGGTTGGGGAGGAGTCTGGACAGTTTGGAGCACCGAACTGGTGTCTTTTTGCCAGGCAGCTTTGAGAAAGTGACAGTGCTCTGCATCTTGGGTGTGTTCACATGTCAGACATTGAGAGCTTTCGGTAGAGGTTGCGGGTTACTGTTGAGTGGGGCTGTTTTCACAATTGTTTGAAAACAAAGCCGTACAGACTATGCTTTCCTGCTGTCCTGCCAAGAGGAGGGAGGAAGTCTGACCCCTGTCGTGTGCTCTGCACCCTTACCTCCTCCCAAGGCCTGTGTGGCTATTTTAGCCCTTTAGGTGCTGTGCTGAAATTGCCTGAGGGTATTTTCTAAAAGTTTGTGACCTGGGGATTGATTTCCACTCCTCTTCTGCTCACTCTGTTTTGGTTAGAGGGTTTGCTAGCGTGGTAATCTGTAACTCCTTCGATCCGTGTTCAGCTCTGTTGGACCCTGTGGTGTTGAGTGTGTTGTGGATGATGGATTCTCACATAGCAGCTTCAGTCCTGAGGCCGATGAGAACTGTCTCAGATTCCCTGGCTGCTTTGGTGTCTCAGACTCTTGCCGAAGTCCTCATTCCTGAGCATAGGAAGAAGGGCAGTAACCCAATCAGGAAGGACAGCATGGGGCACCATACAGGGTCTTTAGGCTGCTGTGTGTTCCTAGGACAGAGCAGAAGTTTGCAGATCACATGAAGAAAAAGAGCGAAGCCAGCAGTGAATTTGCAAAGAAGAAGTCCATCCTGGAGCAGAGGCAGTACCTGCCCATCTTTGCAGTGCAGCAGGAGCTGCTCACTATTATCAGGTAACTTCACCCGGGGCCCAAGAATCTAGTGTCAAATCAGGGGTGCCCTTGGTCTCCCATGTTTACCCAGGAGCTCTTTTTCTTTTGTGCATTGCACCCAATGGAGAAGGGAAATAATTTTTTCCTCTGACCTCATGCCTGGGGTACACTGCACAAAGTAACGGGATGGCACCATTTTGTTTTAGCTCACCTGTTTAAACCTCACTATATTCCAGACGTTTCCGGTGGTATCCCAGTAAGAGGCTGTTTTCCCAGTGAAATTCTCCCTTCTAAACTGGCATGCTCCCTGGATAGCTAGTCACGGGGATAGGAGGTAGCGGAGGCTTCTCGAAGGCTGGGCGTTGGCCTTCCACTTTGGCTGATAAGTCCTTTGCCTCCTTGTCCTTGTAGAGACAACAGCATCGTGATCGTGGTTGGGGAGACAGGGAGTGGTAAGACCACTCAGCTGACACAGTACCTGCATGAAGATGGTTACACGGACTACGGGATGATTGGGTGTACCCAGCCCCGGCGTGTAGCTGCCATGTCAGTGGCCAAGAGAGTCAGTGAAGAGATGGGGGGAAACCTTGGTGAGGAGGTGAGTGGGCGTGGGGGCTGAGTCATGTTGTTATTCCCTGGTAGCCTCCACCCATTTGTGCCAAAGGGTGTGATCTGCTAAGACCCAGACCCCAGTACGGGGTGTGCTGGTGGTGAGCCGGTGGCCAGGGCGTCTGAGCCATCTCTCTGACCTCCAGGTGGGCTATGCCATCCGCTTTGAAGACTGCACTTCAGAGAACACCTTGATCAAATACATGACTGACGGGATCCTGCTCCGAGAGTCCCTCCGGGAAGCCGACCTGGATCACTACAGCGCCATCATCATGGACGAGGCCCACGAGCGCTCCCTCAACACTGACGTGCTCTTCGGGCTGCTCCGGGAGGTGAGGGCTGTGTGGTTTGGTCTCTCTGCGCATGGGGTGTTGACCAGTGCACCACCAGTAGCTAGTGGGGTGCTCCAGGTGGGCTGAGGGGTTCTCCGGCAGGCCAGAGTTTCCTGAGGCCTCTGGTTGCAGAGTTCACATTCGGGTTGTAGTTTATGCTGTTCTTGCCCTGCTGAGGGTGACTCGGGGTTTTCTGGGCAGTGGCTCCATTGCTTCAGTCTTCAGGATTGGTAAGAATCGAATAGGCCTGTTCGTCAGCTTTGGCTTCTGTTTCCTCGGGGGTGGTGCTGATGGGACTGGGGCAGGAGCCAAGGGTCCCCACCATGGAGGCCTCTGAGCCGTCTCTTCTCTCAGGTGGTGGCTCGGCGCTCAGACCTGAAGCTCATCGTCACATCAGCCACGATGGATGCAGAGAAGTTTGCTGCCTTTTTTGGGAATGTCCCCATCTTCCACATCCCTGGCCGTACCTTCCCTGTTGACATTCTCTTCAGCAAGGTATTGAAGCCACCATGTTACGAACTGACCCTTCCGTGCCATGCACTTCTTTGATGAGAAGCCGGCTGGAGGGTGGGTACGGGACTGGGTTGGAGAAGATTTCTTGGGGACCATGGGGCAAATGGGGCAGCCTGCAGCTCTGGGGCTCAGGGGGACCAAGGACTCTGCTCTGGGTGAGGTTTCGTTTCATTGTTTCTTTGGGGCTGAAGTACAGGGCCCAGGGAGGCACTGTGCCTTCCTGTGGAGGCCTCGCAGTCAGGCCCATCTGGAGGTGACCCTTAAAGTCCATGGCTGCAGCCCAGAGCAGTGCCTGGGCCACAGGGCTCCCAAGGGATGCCTGGCCTGCGCTTCTAGTACCTCCCTCTGACTGTGTCCCCACTGCTGTTGCAGACCCCACAGGAGGATTACGTGGAGGCTGCAGTGAAGCAGTCCTTGCAGGTACACCTGTCGGGGGCCCCTGGGGACATCCTTATCTTCATGCCTGGCCAGGAGGACATTGAGGTGCGTGCCTTGGTCACGACTGTGATGAGTGGGTGTGTCCTGC